TGTTAAGTTTTGTTTAGTTAAGAGCATTTGAACCTTCGTGACGTCACAAATCATGGCGCATGACACGCAAACTTCTCAGGTATGTGAAAAGCACAATTTTGAATATTTTTTAAAAAAACCTTTTGGAAAATGTTCAGAATAACATAGACTTTGTCTGTTATGTGCGGAAAATTCAAAATTTTGCGTTTAAAACGTTTTTTAAACAATGTTAAGGTCACAAATCATGGCGCATGACACGCAAACTTCTCAGGTATGTGAAAAACACAATTTTGAATATTTTTTAAAAAAACCTTTTGGAAAATGTTCAGAGAAACATAGACTATGTCTGTTATGTGCGAAAAATTCAAAATTTTGCGTTTAAAACGTTTTTTAAACAATGCCTACATATAAGCAATTCGTGTATTTTTCCTTAGTTGTGACAACCAACTTAAACATTGTTTAAAAAACGTTTTATACGCAAAATTTTGAATTTTTCGCACATAACAGACATAGTCTATGTTTCTCTGAACATTTTCCAAAAGGTTTTTTTAAAAAATATTCAAAATTGTGTTTTTCACATACCTGAGAAGTTTGCGTGTCATGCGCCATGATTTGTGACCTTAACATTGTTTAAAAAACGTTTTAAACGCAAAATTTTGAATTTTCCGCACATAACAGACAGAGTCTATGTTATTCTGAACATTTTCCAAAAGGTTTTTTTAAAAAATATTCAAAATTGTGCTTTTCACATACCTGAGAAGTTTGCGTGCCATGCGCCATGATTTGTGACGTCACGAAGGTTCAAATGCTCTTAAGTGACTGTTCTGAAATATTGTCAAACATTTTTTTACGCTCCTGAAAAATTTTTCAGAAATCTATCATTGTTTAAAATTAATCGTCACAGGCAATTATGGTGTTAATTATTTTTTTACATTCTTCAAGAAGTAAAGTGTTCACGAAAGGTATCGAAACTGGTTTTATACCTGTTTTTATTTCATTTTCGTGACCAAATGCCCCAAATCCAAATTTTTTTCAAACTTACAGTTAAATTTTTATAAATATCCACAGATAGTAAATTTATTTAGATATTCAGATTTATATTAATAGAACAACTTTAATTTCGAGAATAAATTTTTCGCTTTGCGACGCACTGAACAAAAATGTAATATTTCAAATGATATTAAAGTGAGGGGTTAATGGAAGTGACTTGACATACTTTTTTTGCAAAGAGTATATATAAATAACAAGAATGACGTTCATATGTGCATGTAATATATAGTTACACCTTTTGCGCATGAGAATAAAAATTTAAATTTGTTTTCATCAATCTTCAAAAATGAATTTTAAAAAAACTTACCTGCCAAGCGTTTGAATCCAAAGCCAAATAGGACATGTTGGCGTTTTGGTTCTCCGTTGTAAAAGCGGCAAACCTTGACATACGTTTCTCGAGCCCTCCAACTTTATATTCGATACCAAAACGAGTCCGAGGATTTCATTTCCGAAAGAACGTGAATCGTGAAATCTGAAATGTAAAATTCATTCAATTGAAAAGGCAATCTCAAAAAGGAAAGCCACAAATTTTTGGTAATTTCAGAGCTAAATTCTCACAGGCTGAAAATATATATTCTATAAAGTGTCGTACAAATTTTATTTTTTTTTATTGTCAATTTAGTAACTTTTAATTTTAACTAAAATTTCACTAAATTTTCACTAGAGCAGGGTGCGGTATGACTGACAAATGGCGATTGGAAACAATGATAATAAATTTGTATGTGGTTTTTTATTGATAAACTAAAATTCATTTCCTCAGCTACTTTTTCTATTTATTATATATTTATTTATTAATTGTTATTTATTTATTTACTGCAAATTACCAAACTGTGATTTATTATTACTCATATAAGCCACTATCTCAATTTAAGTATGTATATAACATTTATATGTATAGTTAACTATAATTGTCTTTAACGAAATTAACCTTAAAATTCATTGCGATTGTTCGTTTTTTTTAATTTGCTGTAATAAATTTTTTGAATTCGCTACTTATAAATTTATGTTAACGTTTCCTGTTTATATAATATTTCTTTAAATATCAGAACAAAATCATTTTTATTGTCCTCTCTGTACAATATTATTCTCAATGAGATTTAAGTGTTAGATAATTTCTATTCAAAATATTAAGTGCAAAACAATTGCTTCTATAAAACTATAATAAACAATATAAATCTTATTCGTATTTCCTTCTTATATAGACAGTCAACTTCATATACACTGAATCCTATACGCCATTTTGAATATCGAAAAACTGACATCGGATTCGTAAACAACGACACCCAAAAACCTCCGGTTAATCATATATTTCATTTTTTGAATTATCACAAACGAAATTTGTGAAAAAGTTGATTAAGCTACAAAATGAAAACCAAATACTATAAGAACGTAGTCGAAATCGGCCAACAGGTACAGGTGTAGACCCTAAAAATATGAATCGCCCTGACGACGTCTCATATCCCTCGGGCGTTCCGTCGACGAAGGTAAAACTTAGTTAGTAAAGTTAAATACGGCTCCCAGAGGTGCCACAACCGTTTTTTAATTGCAAATATTCTCGAGAAATGAAGGGGGACCGCATCTCTTTCCTCGAAAAAAACTTCTCTTTATACAGCGCAAAAGTTTATATTCTCTGATATTTTTTGTAAACTTTACCATCCCTTATTTCCAGAGTATTCACCGCATTTCATTATAGACCCAAAGTTTCCCGTTTCGTTAAAGTACTCTTTGTGGATGAAATAATATCTTCATTTGTGATAAGAAATTTTTGTTAAAACTAAACTATTTTATTTCACTAACATTTTCGCGAAGTAACCGCACAATTTACATAAGGTTAAACACAACATATATTTATAAATACGGAAAACGTTATATAATTAAAAAGCTTTACGGTGAAAGAGACCTTAGCTGCAACCAAATTTTAGATGATGTTTATGTTTTTTGAAGTAATATTATTCTGGTGCCGAAATTAGACATTTTTTAAGTTGAAAACAATTGATTTTGAATGACATTTAAAATTAGGTACAATATTATAGGTAACTAATAAAAAAATTTTGATTTAAAAAAATTGTTTTGATTCACTTTTCAAAAGATGAGTAATTTTATAGGTATATATCCAAAAATTGCTTAAAATTGCAAAATAATCTCTTTTTAGGGTTAAAAAGTAAAGCCTTGTTTACAATCTATCTGCTTGCGGAAGCCATATTGTTACGTCATTTTTTTCTATGACGTCACGATTTCAGATCTCAGAAGAAAAATATAACGTCCATACTTATTTAATTCTAGTATACAATTTTGGACATGCAAATGTTAAAGAGAACACGAAAAGTCGTAATTGTAGAAAAGAAGAAAAATATAAAAATTTGTTGTAATCTGGTAATAATAACTATACTAGGAAGTTTTTGAGGTCTCTGATTATGAATCATTCCCTGCTATACTTGACTAGCATTAGGAACTTGCGTTCGAGTACAGATTGAGTTAAACAACTCAATTGAGCGTAACATTATTAATTTTCTGTACCGATTTAAATTTCCTGTGCAAATTAATTGTTTTGCAAATACCAGTTATTAGATGGGAAACTCGATAGGTAAATTTGCTGTACGGAAAATATTGTTAAAAATGAAAATAGAAATTTGAATATTTGTAAATCATACTTACAATTAATAAAAATTTTTTTTTAATCCCTATTAATCACAACTTTTGACGTTAAAATTGTTTTGCAAAAAAATTTTGAAATACAATTATTTAAAAACTCTTTAGCGGTAATGATAAAACATTCAAAATTTGACACTTGGGACATTATTGAGATTTGGTTTAAATCTGAAAGCTTTTTATAACAGAATCATATAGCATTTCTGATCATCTTCATCTTATTGTATGTCACGTAATCCGATGTAAAATAATTCAAGCATAGTTATCTAAACGTACAACTAATTCGATTGACTTAAATAAAAAAGATTGTTTCATGAGGAAATGTCATAAACATCCTTTGAAAACTTACCTTCCCTCATTCTGTGTTTCAATAACTACACGACACACCGATGTCACAATAATTCTCGAAAAGACAAACCCAACGGTGGCAACAATAAACAACCCCTGAACACACCAACACCTTAAGTATCAACAACAAACAATAACGAAAGATTAAATATTTGGATAAAATGAACGCACAGGACAATTAAATTAAAGATTAGATCGTAGGCTACGCACTCACGCCCGGAGATACTACATACACCCACACACGTGTAATCACCAAGGTACACACACTGCGTACACCTCGAAGGAATTAGCGATCCGATGCAAGCAACATCAGACGCCGTACCTTCTCTCTCTCTCACTCTCTCTCCCGCTCTTTCTCTCATGCATGTATGTATCTCCGGCGACGGCAAGTCTGAGCGACTAATCGAGAAGCAATTTCTGGTGGGGATGGAAGGCCAGATCCGGTTTGTTCTGACAAGAGGTTGACGAAAAGGAAGGAAGGAAGAAAAGATGAGCGGAAGGAAACAAAGACAAGCGGAAGGAAGTGATTTTGTATCGTACCAGCACTGCACGTGGCGCGTCGCGACGTCGCACTGTGCTTGAGGCAAGAGGCGCCGTGGCGCCCCCGCCTTTGTCCCCTGGGGGGGTGTGGTACCGCCTCCAGTTACATGACTTCATCCCTCCGCCGTCGTCGTCCTTGTCGCAAAACGTACTTGCGTACACGCTCAACATGACCTATAGCGACACCTGGCGCAAGCTCATCTGCGCATCCCACAGTCATCGAAATCGGTCAACTACCGCACACCTCCGCTTGCTCTACCACGCCTGCGCATCAACGATCGATGCCCCTACATCAGGCAAAAAGCAACCCCTACACGCAACAATTCGCCACAGTGGATTTTCTCTTATTTTCATTTTCACAGATCAGTCTCACACCAAAACAGATGATCTATCTGATTGTCATTGCTTTTTTTCTATGGGCGGTATTCATAGTCGATACTTATTTCTTAAGCAGCGACTTAAGCTGACACCTAGATTCATAGTCGCGCATTGTGGATTGACTTAAGCCGCAACTTAAGCATTTGCTTAAAGAAGTAAATGCTTTTGATTTTGAGATGCAGAGTCCCATCTTAAGAGTGCCAAGTATTCATAGTCAAATAGGATTTTCTTATTTGACATTACCGGTGAACTTATTTGAACGAAATGAGGTTATGATTTAAAGTCAACGTTTTAGTTGACTTAAGCAATAACTTATTAGTGTATTTATAGTGAAAAAAGTGTTAACTATGGATATAATAGATTATTTAAGTGACATTGAGGATAATATTGATAATGAAGATGGTCCGAACAATATAAGACGTGCAAAACGATACATTCGAGATGCGGAAAATCCTTTTGAAATAGATGAGTGGGAGTTTCAGAGACGTTATCGTTTTTCAAAAGATTCTGTGTTAGTTGGTATTTTGCCTGAAATACAGGCAGGGCTAATTAAACATAATAATCGTGGTTTACCCATTGCACCACAACTCCAACTACTTCTCTGTTTACGATATTTCGCAACTTCAAGTTTTCAGGTAATTTAAAATTTTTATTTATATATAGACCCATATACTATTCCAAATAGAATATTCCTTGTATGAAAAATCAACGATTCTAATTTTTTTTACAGATTTTGCGCTATATAATAAAAATAAGTAACTTTTATTATTAGAAATTAAAAAGAATCTGTAACCTTTACATTTGTTAAACTTGAATATGTTTGACTTATTAGTATAACCTCAAAGCTAAAAGTAGTTTTTAACAGAACTGAAAATATATTTGAAATTGATTTTATCTAATTTTAAATAACATTTGTACAATTTTGAAACAAAATTTATTGTTAAATAATAAAACAAAAATTAACATTTTGTGTTTTTTCTTAAAAATTACATCAAATTTTTTAAAAATAATATATAGATTATTTTACTCTATAAAAGATTTTCTATAATTCTACTTGTTGAATTTTGTTGGCAAATTTTTTTTCGAAAGTTATAAATATTCTTTTATGTGATAGGAGTGTAAAATTTAAAAATTTATTTAATGTTATATTTTCGCAGCTTGTTCTTGCCGACACTATGAAGATTTCTCAATCAACTGTCTCAAGAATTGTTTTTCGTGTCGCCACGTTGCTTGCCAGTCTCATTAATTTATATATTAAAATACCAGCAACTGGTGATGCCCGAAATGAGAATCATCGTTTGTTTAACGTTTTAGGAAGAGGGCATGGAGCAATAGGACTTCCTCGTGTTGATGGAGCGATTGATTGCACTCACGTTAAGTTAGTCGGCACAAGGTTTAACCAGATTGAGGAAATGTTTAGAAATAGAAAAGGTTATTTTTCACTTAATGTACAAGTAGGTATACTAATGATGACTGTGAGGATTTTTTTTAATATTAGTAGAAAATTTATTTTTGACAAAAATTGTGAATAGTTTTTATATTATTGTACAATTTTTTGTAGGCTGTTGTTGGACCCCGAATGGAGTTTCTCGACATTGTTCCGGAATGGCCAGGTAGAGCACATGACAGCCGTATATTTCAGAATTCGTTAATTCACATGCGTTATATTCAAGGACAATTAGATGGGATTATTGTAGGTGATAAAGGATATCCCTGTTTGCCTTTTCTTATGACACCTCTCAGAAATCCTCATACTGAAGAAGAAATCATGTAAGTATTTAAATTGTTTTCACATCAATATAAGTTAATTTGCTGAAGATAAAACTTGACATTTGTGTAATATTAAATTGTTTCAGGTATAATGAAATTCAAATACGAACGAGAATAATTGTTGAGCGAACTTTTGGTGTATGGAAGCGAAGATTTCCATGTTTGGCACGGGGAATGTCAACTAAGCTTATTTGTTCAACAACAACTGTTGTTGCATGTGCTGTTTTGCATAATATGGCATTACGTTTCAATGACATATTAGAAGATGATGACTTACAAGAATATGAAGAAGTTCCTGTACCTAATGCAGAAAATATAAATATGGATGGAGAAGTCGCACGTCAGTTACTAATTCACCGTTTATTCAATGGATAATAAGTAATAATTTGGAATAAAAAATTATTTATTTCAATATCATATTTTAAAAAGAAAAACCATTACATTAAAATATTTTATGTACATATTTCAATAAAATCTTTTCTTCACAATAAATAACATTGATAATATTTTTACAGCTTTACTTCATTTCACTTCAGAATAAAAATTTGTTTAATAATCTTAAATGTAAATATAAAATTAAATATAATATGATATAATAAAATATAATTCATAATATAATGGAATGTATAAATATATAGTTAAATATAAATAAATCTAAAAATAGTATAAAATCTTGTGTAATAAATTGTCTACTAAAATATAAAATGTTCACTTAATACTGTTAATTGTACTAGCTTTGGAATAAAATAATTTAAAAGAATAGGAAATAAGGTTTTTAAAAAAATAACATAAGTTAAAAACTCGAAGCATAAACAATACATCTCAATTCACAATGGTGTAAGCTCTATTGCCTGTGTTAACCGCATTTCCGCCAATTGAGCTTCTGCTTCGGCTTTACGAATTTCTAATTCGTGGATTTTTTTTAAATGCTCCATTTCTAACTTCTGTTTTCTAATTTGGTGCTCCAATTTTAACGAAAGCAGCTCTTCCTCTTTTTTCATTATATTCAACAAACGCTCAGTCTTTTTCGTCTCCTTATCAAGCTTTTGCTTGTCTACTTTACTACTTGCTGTAGAGCGCACTATGTCCAATTTTTCATAGTCGAGCATGGACTCCTTGCTCATGCACCTCCTTTTCACAGACAAAGGAGTCGATGTTTGTGAACAATTAATTTCATCTTCTTGAAAACGTCTCTTTTTAACATCAATCACAGAAGATGCCGTGTTCAAAAGGAATGAAACCTCTGATTCCTGAATCTCAGAATTAGAAGTTACAACATTTCTGAGGGACTCTGTTGATACTTCTTCATCATCAAAAACTGCTTCTCGACGTTCTAAAATACAAAAATGATTAGATTATAAATTATTAATAGTATATCTATTTTAAACTTACAACCCGAAAAATACATTACCATTTATTAAATCTTCCGAGAAGTTTGATGAAAAATATGATGGCGCAGTGGCCATTAAATCAGGAACTATAGCGGCTATATCTGGGTCCACTTCAGCAACATTTATTGGAACATTTAAGTTTCCCGTTGCCATTACATCTTGCTTTTCCTGAGTTAAAGCATTTCTCTGCTGCAGCTTCATGTTGCTCCACATTTTTTTTAACTGTTTAACCGACCTCTGCAAAAAAAATTTTTTTTAGAAATTTCAAACTTTAAACATTTAATTTGTTTAGCACAATTAATTATTTTTACCTGCTCTGCAATAAGTACTGAGCCATTGTATTTTTCCTCGATTTCACTCCACGCAGCCTCTTTAGCTTTCAAGGTGGAACAATCGCTTTTGCGATTTTCAATAACATGGGAAAATCTTTTGATAATTTCCAGGAAAAGTTTTCTTTCCGTATTGGTGTAATGCTTTTTAGACATTTTATTACTAAAAAAAAGTTTAATTAATTAGTATTAAAATTTAGTATTATTTATAATAATTTAATTATTTATTGTTTACAAATTTTATATTCCATTATCTTTTGATTTTAATATATAATTTAAGGGACTGAAAGAAGAAGATTTATTTGGATACATTTATTTCTACAAGAAAAAAGAATTTATGTATGAAAGTAGTTATTTTATGTTTATAAACAATTAAAATTTTTTAGCGTACAGCACTTTTTTAAAAACGAAAGTGTATACATTTATATCATCTAATCGCATATATTCTGAAAATTGACAAAAATTATTGTTTTAGAAGTTGTTATTAATTTTTTTTTTATTTTTTACAAATTTTGAAAATTAAAAAATTTGTATGCATTTATAAATTGTATAATTTGGTTTTTTAAAAAAATTTAATAATAATGAAAAGATTTTTTTATTAAAAAAATTTAATAATTAAAAATTAAAATCACATAATTTTTTAAAAATCTATAACAATATTTCAAATAATTTTTCCATATCTTAATAATGGAGAAAAATTTATCTAAATATATTTCAGCAGGATTAAAAACATTTCACTTTTTCTCCTTTCAGGTAGTCATTTTTGTATCCTTTTACTTTTATTGCGGGTACTTTTTTTCTGAAAATATTGAGATATTGCTCGCGTTAAGGGACTTAATCCTACCCCCAATAAAATCCAGATGTTACATACATTTTGCTCATCTCATTGAAAGCAGTAAGAAGTAAGAATGATTTTACTTTCAAAAATTAAAATATATATTTAACCTTAAAGAAATTATTTTAGAAAAATTATATTTCTTAGAACAAAATAAAGTTTATTCGTTTATAACAAATTTTCAACTTTGCTTCTATTTATTATTTTCATAATTCATTACTTTTCTGACAATAAAGATAAGATATAAACAAAATTACCAGTCTTTTTAAATTGAAAAAGGAAAAATAAATTGTGTTCTACAAATTGTACGCCTAATTTTAAAAATATTAATGTTAATATATTGATAATTATTGTGAATATTTCACTATTATGTATCATTATTTATTAAATTTTAAATATATTTCATTCGTTGATTATTAAAAATTTTTACTTTTAAGCAATATTAAATATATTCACAGGTTCATATTTTTGAATTTTGTTTTATTACTGTTTTTTATTACAAACATTTAATAAAAAAAAATATTTTACAAATTTACTTTTTCAAATGATTACACACAAAAATTTTATAAATGACATTAAAAATATACTTACATAATTAAATCACTTGTTCACAATAAAACAGTTTTTAACCTTATACACAAAATTTATATTTATATTTGTAATTATTATTTACTATAAAAACAATTATAATAACAGAATGAACTGTTCGTTCAAACGCTGAAACGAAAAACTCAAATTGAAAACAACGCAGGTATAAATATTCCTTGGCGCATTGAGGCGAATTTTCAAAACCATTTCTTATTGGTGGATTCAAGAGAATATTTACGGAAAAAGCCGATCGTTCAATAAGATCATCTTAAGCATTTGCTTGGTCAAGAAATTCTTAAGCTGCATTTCCTTTACCAAGCAATTGCTTATTTCTGACTATGAATATATATGGTCTTAAGCTCGACTCATTCGAATAAGACCATCTTGATCAAGCAACTCTTAAGTCCTTGCTTAAGTCGGAACTATGAATACCGCCCTATACTTTGACTTGTCTTCTTAGAAAAATTCTTCCCTAATTGATTCTGTATTTAATATTTTTCAAAATTTGGTCTCCGTTTTAATTCACTTCTATTGGGATTTAAACTGCAATACATCTGGTGTTTACCTAATTCATTTTCTCAAATACTTTTTATATTTATTTATTAATTGTTATTTATTTATTCACTACAAATTACCAAACTGTGATTTATTATTACTCATATAAGCCACTATCTCAATTTAAGTATGTATAACATTTATATGTATAGTTAACTATAACGAAATTAACATTAAAATGTTGTTTTGTATTAACAAACTAAAATTCATTTTCTCAACTACCTTTTTATTTATTATATATTTATTTATTTACTGCAAATTACCAAACTCTGATTTATAATTACTCATATAAGCCACTATCTCAATTTAAGTATGTATAACATTTATATGTATAGTTTTATTTAACTTTTCTCAAAAATATTTTCGACATATTGCATCCGCCATTTTGCATCGCTCCGTTTCGTGCGTTTTTGGCTAATACGAATGTTACCGAAAAAATGAATCAGAGTTAATAATTATACGAACTGTAATCCGGACATTAATGTCCGGATTACATTGTACGGATATACTAATTAGTATATCCGTACAATGTCCTCATAACATCCACGGATGTTTAGGGCACATTCTAGGGATATCCTAATTTTCCCGGAATAAATGATATCCCTAGAAAGTCCGTTGGATATCCTGAATATCCAATTTCTGAAATTGACACTGGAATTCTATTATATTACATAATGTTACTTGATAAACATCTCGAAATTAAGATTTTTTAACATTATATATAGACTGAAACTTTTGGGGAGCACTATTTCATCCGAAAATGTTCTTCAACTTAAAGAAATCAATGATAATTTGTGACATTCGGGAAAACTCATTGCAGAGGAACTTCTTAACTCGGTCGTGTAAAGTAATTTAACTACTACATGATTACCCCGAAAGTTAAGCTCGAGTAAGTTCGAAATTACTTGTTAAATTGCATACACCTATGAAAAGCCCTTAAGCATCATGTAATCTGCGCATGTGTTTATCCATTGGTCGGTATACGAGCGTAAATAATGTACATATATCCTTAGCTGATGCTTCCCATCCGATCGAAATGACCATCTTACCCTAATTACCTAATTAGGGAAGGAAATGATCTAATGTGCATATTGCGTAAGTAATTTCCTATTACATGCGTAGTAAATAGGAGAATGGATAATTTTTACTATTTTCTATCAACAGCATCATTGATGTAAGTTATATTTATTTTCAATCTGAACATTATCAACTGCGTTCTAATTTACATCGTAAACTTTGTTTAATAGAGTTGTTTTCTAGTTAACGGTAATATCGGTTTAAAATGCATCCGATAAATTATCAACAATTTCATAAAAAAATATATATACAACTTAATTGTAAAGTAAAATACAAACCAGAAAATTAATTTGCATATTTTGATTGGAACAAAATTTCTATATTTCATTAAAAAATTTAACATAATTTCAAACTCAATTTCAATTTACAAGTACCTATATATTTAATAGCAAGTTTTATCTAAAAACTAAATCTAGTGGAAAATAAATATCTTATCAATAGAATATATTTGTTCCTTGACATGTGATGCCAACAAATCAAGAAATAGCTAAACATGTTTAGTTTGCAAGAAATGTCGCCATATGGAAAGAAAACTGACAAAACGTAAAAGCTGTACCTAATATTGGTTTAGAAGGTGGAGGTTCGACGTGGTCTGATGATTCGTTGGAAAATCGGGAAACGATGCAGGAGAATTTCTGAAAGGATCGTTGAAAAGATTGATATTGATACCTATTGATCTTGAGAAATACAAATGCCTGTGACCGAGAATCCTTTCAGGTTCAAGAAAGAGC